TCCAGGATCTTGATTTGAGGCATAATACCTAAACAACAATACGTCTCGACACACATTTTTCTCCTCTGTGCCACAGCAAGTGACCTGTGACAGACTCTTTGAGAAGATTGTATCCACTCAAATAGGTCCAACAAATATATCTCATTGTGGCCTGCAGGGACTTTCCCTGAAGAATAACCTCAACCATGGGGTGAAAAGTCTTGTTCCGCTTGGTGAGAAAAAGGTCGGACCGAATCCAATCCTCATGCAGCAACCACAGTACTAAAGCCAGAATGTGACCAGAGAGGTTTATGTTTTCATGGTTTCATTTCGAAACCTTTGTTGCAACCAAATCCAACTGGGTTTTTTTTTGGAGCCTAGTTTGTTGTTTAGTGCGATAAAAGATCATCCACAGCTCGTGTAATCAGTGGGACTTCATATTTGAACCACATTTCCTGATGATTCTGTTACTCTGTGCTACATCCTGAAAAATAATGTCTTTATTCCCAGACCATCTTCTGCTATTTCTATGGTCTGCTGTTAAAATATATCTAAAAAAAAACCTTTCCAGTCAACTCAACATTAAGTTACATGGGCAGAAACTCACAAAAAGAAAAAAAAAAAAGGTTGTCCGTGGTTTGCCTCCATTTCTCAGGACCCATTAAAGAAGTGTGAAGGAAAAAAATGCAGTTGTTTTCCTGCACAGTGTCACACAGCTGTCAACGTTTAAGCATGCATCAAAATGCGTATCTGGTTACTTGATCTCAACGCTGAATTCCACACAATGTATGTAAGTGCATTAATCTTGCAATGCTTTGAAACATCAAGCCTGAGTCACGTTGCAGCAGTATGTAAATGCTACAGTATAGGAAAATGGAAACGTGAACAAGTCATGAATCATTTAACACTCTGTTCAGGTTATTTACCGAGCTTATTAGAGGTATATTGTCTCATGTACAGTAGGTCTGTGCTTCACTTTAAAAAGAGTTTGTGTTTATTGAATAATCAGCATGAGGATGGACAACTGTACAGAATTTACTGCAGCACATGTGCAACATTTGGGAAACTGCTGTGGCCACTGTTGTCATACAAGGAAAATGTAAATTAACTTATACTCATATTTTGTGCAAGTGATCAATAGATACAATCTGCTAATGGGGTGGGTTTATGTCCAATGGCCCTATGCCTTTTGGAAAAATCTGCTCACTTAAGTACTTTTTGAGCCAATGTCCTTTTTATACTCATCCAATACTTGGCACTATATACTCATATGGCCTGATAGCCTGGCAGTGGCTAATGTGTGCAAATTGTCATTGGGAGTCTTTTTATATCAAGCACCAGTGCTCAGCACTTCTTTAGAAGGTGACTTCAGCATTTCTTTCCCTTCCATCTCATTTAGTGTGTAGATCCATTGTTGAATATACAGTATGGGTCTGTAAAGCAGAAACTGCCCTTGTCTTTAGTGTCCTTGAGATTGCAGTCCTCAGCGAGATAGAATAAGGAAGCCAATATGTAGGAACTCATCTATTTCTTTGTATAAGTCCCACTTTTCATTCATGACATACATTTCAGAGATTATTTTTGTATTATTTGTAAAAGGTAATACAGTTTATGGTGTATTAACCACAGTATTTCTGTATACTAGGAGTTTTTCCCCCCTAAAAAACGATTAATGGCAAAAAAAATTGACGGAGAAATAGAAGTCATAGTTCATGTTCTAGTTAAATACTTTTGCTTTTCACCTTACATAGGTTATCAGATATATAGATTCATCAGGGAGATATGACAACATTTTCAGAACTCTGATTTTTTTTTCTGTGGTCATCCCCTAAAAGCACATTCTTAGCCACCAAAAAATAAACAAATAAATAAATTATGTGTGTATATATATATATATATATATATATATATATATATATATATATATATATATATTTAATTTTAGTTTTTTTTTTTCAAATGGCCACATCAACTAACCAATTAAAAAACAAATTGTTTTTCCAATTTACTACTCTTATCACAAAGCTACTCTGCTCCTGAAGTGATCCTAATGAAGGAGCTCCTTGGTGACGTTTTGTTTAAGTTGCAAACCAGCTTGATGATTGTTGTTGAAAAGGCACACGAGAATAACATCAAGCCAATTGGTTGCAGCTTGATTAATTATTTCAATCTTACTTTTAATGCTTTATCAATAATCCAAGTTCTCCAAAAAAACGTACATGTGATTAGATAGTGATTAATCTGATTTCATTTGAGTCTCTTGGCCTTCTAAGGACAATGCTGCTGCAGTTCTCTTGACATGAGTTGTTAATCACAGCGTGAGCTACCAGATGTGTTCAATTTCCGTCCCTTTGTCTATTGTCACAATGGTAATTCACTTCACTGTGAAATAAATGAGAGTACAGCACAAAGCTGCAGGCAACTTGAGAACACCAAAATAGTTTGTTTATTTTATCTCAATCACAAGAGCTTTGTGAGAAAAGGTTTAGGATACCACACCATTGATGTCAGATTTTGGCAATTTTCAGTGAGCATAAGTTTGCAAAGCAGCTGCAAAGTGTATATCTGGGTAAAGTAGCAAAGCATTTAAAAGGCAAGAAACCCCATGTAACAGATCATTAATTTTAAATGCACTGCCTTGAGTCATATCAGCTGCCTTGACTAAAATTACAGTCCAGCTTCAATTCTGTTAAAGGAGCACTGAAGCTGTACTGTAACACCTCTAGGGGGTATTGAGGCTTTGATTTTACTACCATTTTCTTTTTTCAAAGGGAATTCCAAAATCGATATTTAATAAATCAGGTATATGCATACAAGCACCTTTTTCTTTTAGATGTCTTGATAACTCAGGGACATCACTGGCTTTTTCAAAAAATTTTATCCCTCCTTTTTTTCCACAATTCTTGTGTGTGTGTGTGTGTGTGTGTGTGTGTGTGTGTAATCTTCCAAGTACTTTGTTTTAGGAAACAAACTGAAAGTTCACTGGAATTTCTTTTCAGTTCACATGGATTGGAACATCCAATTACGATATTCAACACACATCTTCATTCGTAGGCTTGCTTCTGGCTATTGTGTTTGATCAGGTGTACTTTGACTCACAGTGGAATCAACTAATTGTCTGTTCGACCTTGAATGGGCTGAAGGGAGCTTGGACAGGAGTTACCCCATACAATTAATTCACTTCCCCTCCTCTCTGTCTCTCAACAATTCGGTCAACTGTGCTTTATTTAAAACTATTCTTCAATCCTTCAGAATTTGTACGTTTTTATTGTTATTTTAAGACACAGTCTCATTTTCTGGACAGCAGAACAGTTTTATTACTGTGAAAACATTAAATCCTTATGCTGGTTATGTTTTCCAGAACACACGCAAAGTGATTAATAATTATGTGAAATATTACATGCAACTTTGAGCATATTAATAGATTAAAACATTTGTTTTCCTGACCACTTTTAAATGCACTGAAAGCAAATGTATACCCCTTGAAGACCACTTCATTAGATATTAATATGATGAGTTCTTTAGAAAAGACCATCTGTAACCATATGAACAAAAATATTCTGCAATTGATTGTGGTAAATTTCTTTAAATTTGCCCTGTCCCTCAGCTCAACTTTCCCACATAAGTGCGGAGTAAATTAAATATGGCCGCTGTTTGTCTGAGGGGAATTGACTAAGTGCTTGTTGCTTTTAATGAGCAGCAATTTTGTGCCAACAGGAAGCTAATACAATGCCAAACACTTACAAACTTTTAACAAGAGTGATTCTATGGCATCTCTCATCTCCTTAATGGATACCAAGAGCAACAAATAACATGTTGTACATCATGTAAAGATACATAGGCCAAGATGTCTTGTATAAATGAAATCTAATAAAATGAGCATCTTCAAAAGCAGTGAATGCTGTTTATAGGATTAAATGTGACAGAGGCAATTCTGAATGCAGGGAAACAATGTTACTAGGTGACACTTTAAAAAAAAAAAAAAAAATGTCCTCTTGCTCTCATCATTTACTGTGACGCTATGGACTGTATTTTTAACAAAGCAAGAAGTAATCCAACACCCATCAGTTCACACAAGGACACAGAGTTGCATTGGGGAGTTTAGCAGTTCAGTCTTATTTTTGAGTAGATTTATCCATGGAAGTTGTTTCACATGCCAGACACCCAAAAGCACTGTTGGAAAGTAGCCATGATTGTTCGTTCTGAAGCATGCAAGCTATGGCGTCTCAAAGCTGTTTCCAAACTGATGACACCTCATGAAAATTTAATGAAGAAACTGTTTCCAAAACTGCGGCTTTTACAAAAGCGGAAGACATTAATTAGCCATATCACCACAGGAAAAGGAAGACTTGAAGGCGCATATAAACCTTGCCTGAACCCTAAATAAGCAGGTCTTGTTTTGCAGGTTAACAATTGGCAAATGCTGCAAAGACGGGCACTTTCAAATGGGAATGGCGTATAAAATATTCCGATCCGCAGCCTCCTAGAAATCCTTACTTGCTGAAAGCCAGAAATATTTGCTCCTCTGGGTGGTGAGGTTCAGAGTTCAGACAAAGATGCTCCAGGCTTTGTTTTGATTAAAGAACATACGTGGACTAAATTGCACTCTGGGCTGTTGTCTTTCACATCTTAAATGGCAACAAGAGGTAGCCCTTCCTTGTTCAACCAGTGAATAGAGACACAGGCAGGAACAAGACAGCACACACAACACTGTAAAGCCAGATTCCGTTGTCAAAGAACATCAAAGCGACACCTCTCTTGCATTGATTTGTAGCCATTATAGCTGCTTTCACCTCAGGTTTAGGTTACATTTGCATGCAGACCCATACAGGGAGTGCTATCTAATCTTGTTACATCAAAATGGAGATTAAAAAAAGGAAAATAAATAAACTAGTCCATTTCTCATTCACCATTTCGAATCAGACTTTCTAACACAGTGCAATCTTCTCACAACAGCTGTCATGTCCTCTCCCTTTAACTATGAGAAGCTTTAATAAAGCCCCGGGACTTTCTCATTCTGACCTCTGCAACAATGTCTCCCACCTGTTCCAGAGGACCAGCTGCCCCCTGGTTTCCCCACCATAGACATGGGCCCACAGCTGAAAGTGGTGGAGCGAACACGCACTGCCACCATGCTATGCGCTGCCAGTGGCAACCCTGACCCAGACATCTCCTGGTTCAAAGACTTCCTCCCTGTCAACACTACCAACAACAATGGACGCATAAAACAACTCAGATCAGGTAGGTTTCCTATGCTCAAAAACTCACTTACCAAGCAGGGAGTCCTATTTCTTGTTTTCTTTGATCTAATGTTACCCCCCCCCTCTTATATCCTCTGTCTTCTCATCCTCTTCTTCCTCTCATGATTTAACTTCTCATTTGGCTTTTTTTATTTTGTAGGTATTGGCATTGTTTCTACTATTTCCTGTTCTCTACTCTATGTACGGCCCCGTTGTGTGTTGTCTGTACAGTATTTGTCTCCCTTTGTCCTCCAGTGTTGTCATGGGCTGTTGGGATTGTTCCCTTTCTGTGTTTGCTGGCTTACACCCTAACCTCTTCCACCATTGCTCACTGCTGTGACTTTTTACAAGAAATTAATTTGATCTTTTGTGTTTTTTTACCACTGCATTGGTGCAGTATTTTTAGAACCATTCCTTCATTTCTTATGTTTTTACCCTGTTGTTTTTACAATTAATATTCAACATTTAGCTTCATTCAGAACCTACAACTGAGTGTACATAATCTTTTAATAGGATACAGAAAAGCAAATAACTCTTGTTCTTGTGTATTTGTCTTATAGAATTTTGCCTAGTTTGCTTTTTTTTGTTTTGTTTTTTTAGGTTCAAGATTAACATTGAAATCTAAAATGAGCCACAGTAGTGTGTAAAACTTCACAAAGCGTGTCCCTTTCTCTTCAGTTATTTAATTGCTTTGATGTTTAGGTGAAACATTTGATTCTAATTGGCTGTGATTCACCCTAATGGGCCCATTGGCTCCAGGAGTTTCGATTTCAAATTCTGAATATAGATATTCTCCTTTTTCTGAAATAAAAAAAATGCTACCATAGCTTGCAGCTCTCTGTGCCAGCTAACAAAACACAATAACATAACACAGATTTGAAGTCTTGTCTGTTTGACCACCTGTCTTCACGGATTTCACAATTGTCCTTTGTTAAATCATCGTGTTAACTTGCTTCCTTGCTGACTTGTTTTCAATAGATTTGTGTCAAATTAACCCTTATTTCTAACCTGCGACTTTGATTCACTTAGAGTTGCTAAAGCATTAACGAAACCTTGTTAACTAAACTTAAAGAATATAATCATATTCTTATGCTGTCTTTCTTCTCTCTATATTTTTAAATCTACAGAATCCTTTGGTAAGTGCTTAGCTCTAAAGCACACATCACCCCCACTAATTTTCATGTTCCAACAACTATTAAAATGCATGGCATGCATTTTACTAACAGATAGTTTAGTTTCAGGGCTAGACACACACACTCCTCCCTTACCCCCATCACTGCCAGCTATAGTATCACTTTATCTGGAGATTATAATCACCAAACTTGATCTTAGTAGTGTCATATACTGACCTGAGTAATGAACTGTCCTCACATGTATGTTCCTCACTCACTCCCTCACTTAATCTTTTAAAGCCAGCACCTTAGGTATGGATAGTTCATGAGCTTTAGGGAGGTGACCAGCTGTGCCTAGATCAAATCAAACTCTGCTCTTATTTGCATATACAAAGTCCTTAAATTCTTTCCCTTCAGTAGATGGTCTTCAGAAGCCATTACCACTTCCAAAATGGCACCTCCCCTGTGGTACTTCACTGTACAAGTTCTTCTCTCTGACCTATGATTTTTCTATGATGAGTCCTGTCTTTTTTGCCAGTAGAGTACAGAAAAGTTATTTCTCTCTTTACTCTCTTTCTCTCTCTTTTCTCTGTCCTGTAGTACCTTTATTTACGTACCCTGTTAAATCTAATTTGATTCTTCTTCCAAAGCCCCCAGCCTCTATCTACTCGTACTAATGCTTCTTCTTTCTAATCTTATTTGCATTCATATTATCCACCCAGGTGGTACACCAATAAGAGGTAAGAGTGCTGAACTGACGTTCACAGAATGAAAAAAAACAAACAAATTCATTCCTGCTGTCAACCCATCCATTCACCTGAATCACCTCCATTTTTGTCTCGTTTACCCAGATCAAATGTCATTACGTTCATATGGAACATCTTTCTTATTTGTCCTGTTTTGTTGACTTAATTTGTACTTCATCCTTTTGTCTATGCATTATTTAAACCTTTGTGTTCTTGTTTGAAGAGCCTGTTTAACTCAGTTGTGATATGCTTGCCCTGGCTAAAATAAGCATATCCAATGACAATTTTTCTTTTTCAAACTATATTTTTAAGTTAATTTTTGTTTTCTTTTTGACCATAGCAAATCATGTGTCCCTCTTTTTGTCCAACTAAAACAACCAAGCATTTTTCCCCCTTAGCTGTTCTTGTTCAGCACAAAAATATGCACAGATGCTGTGGAATCACGCAGGCATGCTGAAGACAACATTGCCTCCTCTCTGCTTTTTTCTCCCAAAGAGTTCTTTCTATCTTTGCAAACTATTTTTTTCATTTCTTCTATTTGCTTTCCTCTCCTATACCTCTACAAAAAAGCCCAAACAACCACTTTTTTGATAAAGTTTCTACGGTGCTTTTTTCCTCTTTCACCTATTTTTCTTACTTTTCTTGGGTTTGGAGACTATTTTACTTTTTGACTTTTTTTCTTCAGGGTTTGGGAAGGCAATCTGAGTCTGGTGAGGACCTGATTGGCTAATTTTTTCCATGTGACAAGGAGCTGGAGAGTTGTTGATGCATAAAGCCATTTTTCTCTGGTCATGTGACACCACACTGCTGATCCCATTAGTGGATTTTTATGGGTGTCTTTTGTAGCTTTCAAAGCTAAAGCAGTGGTTGGTTATTTTCTTGTTGGCTCAGGCCAATATTTTGACTTTTGTCTTCTAATACAAATGCGTTTTATTTTTCAGCTAAGGGTTGTCAGAAGGTTGTAAGTTGTGTCGACATACATTTCTTGCCAAGATTTGCATGTCAAACCTTTTGTTACAGAAGGTTATATGTTGGTTTTGCCTGACATAATACTTCAAATACATTTTTCCAGATATATGAGCAGCATTTTTCAATTTTTGTATGGGCTGCCTTTTTTTAAAAAGTGACTTTACCAAGGTGAAGTCCAAAATGAATATGTAGGGTGAATATTACAACTGATCCGTGATTGAATATGCTAAAATTCATACCTAAATTTCTTTCTTTCAATTGTCCTCCCTTGTTATGCTGCTTTTTTATACTGTAAACCTCTTTTGTTTGATCCATGTTTCCCTAAAGCAGTATCACTCATCCCCATATTAACCAGTCCAGTGACATGTTGTATATTTATGGGCTTGCCCCTATTCTTTAAAGTAAAACTATTACATTTTTGCTATCATAAATACCAAGATGAGTGTTTCGTAAGAATTCAAAAGTAATAATATGTTTCCCTTAAAGAAGTCATTCACGAGGTAACCATATGAATATACTGTACTGTGTTACTTTAGTTTTACTAAGGGGAACGATATAGCTGTTACGAATGCTGCGCATGATTATCAGTTGCAGCTTAAACTGTCTCCATTTTATGTCAGACAGTGGATTCAGCTGTAATACTGATTGAAGGATAAAGAAAAGAACGTAGTGTTTTATTCATCGAGAATTAGAGATTGTTTCATAATAATTTTCCACAATAATCTTATCACTACTAAGGTGTGACAGGATAAGACAAAATTAGAAAATAAAGGTCTAATATTGGCTTTCTTAGGGCCAAATAAGCTTGTTTCTGTTTTTTTTTTCTTTTGTGAGCTTGATGCCATTAGCATTACTCTAACCATATACACTTTGCTACTCCATTTGTTATTCCAAATCTAGGTGCCCTCCAGATAGAGCAGAGTGAAGAGTCTGACCAGGGGAAGTATGAATGTGTGGCAACCAACAACGATGGAACCCGTTACTCTTCCCCAGCTAATCTCTATGTCAGAGGTAGGAAGTATGTATTAACAAAACTAGTAGGATTTAGTCAAACATCATAATAAAATTGTTCTTAACACTGACAAGGAAAGTTAAATCAACCAATAAAGCCTACAGGGGCCATGTCCCACAAAGCCATTGTAAGTATGCATATTGTTTTTTTATTTAATTTTCTGTCCCTTGCACTTGGCTTACCTGCACTAATTTGACCTACAATATCATCTCTGTCATGTGTTTCTGGCCTGTTTTGTTGATTATCCCAATTCTAAATCCAGTAATTAGATTGCTTGCTGTGTTTATCTGCAAATTGCTTTCAAAATCTAACTGTTGGAAGTGGTAAATGGTGGGCAGCCTTTTTTCACTATCCCCACTGGTAAAAAGCGCGGTAAAAAAATAAATAAATATTTTTTTTTCCCACTGACCAAGGAAAGACAATGTAGGTCTAATTGCACTAAAATGATATGGAAAAGAAGATAAATGAATACTTTATTTGATAAGTTTAAATTTAAGTTTTTTGGTCGTGAAGCAGTTTTTTATGCGCACATAGAAGTTTCATTCTTATGATTTTATGGACAAAAAAACATACCTATTAAATCCAGTATAATGAATAATTGGTCTTGTTTATCAATACAGAAATTGGTGTTGCTAATATCTACTTTTTGTATTTTTCTTATGAATTTTGTACTGCTCTTCAGTCCTATGGTTAGCTTAAATTATCATTCAATACAAACCAGTTCCAAATTTGATTTAGCATTTAATAAAGAAAAAAAAGTATGCAGATTTTTAAATACCATAAGCTAACCACACGGCTTTGGCAGAATAATAGTAAACATTCATTTAATTTAGGATGTTTGAATTCCAGCAGGTAAAACTTTTTCTTTCCAACCTGTAAAGGCTGCCAGGGAGATACGAGGGGCTCCCTGCACCTTCAAATTGTTTGCGAAGCATTTGAACACCTTAAACATGGGCTTTTTACTCTCTGTGTTTCCCTTGTTTTTTCTCCTTTCCTTATTCATTTTGTTCTGCATCAAATTCCCTACATCCCTCAGAGCTACGAGAAGGTTGGTGTGTTTTTACTTTTTGAACACAACACAGTACAGAAAAAAAAGTGTTTTTTTTTCCGTTTTTTTGTTTTGTTTTTTATCTTTGAAATAAAAAGAGCTTATGAAAACACTGAAAGACAAACACATTACTATAGCCCCCCCCCCCCCCCCCCCCCCCCCCC